ACTTTAATTATGTGATTAAAATGGGGGAGAATTGGTTTTTAATCCTAATTATCTAATTAACAAGAAAATAAAGAAAGCAATAGTTAACAATTCTTCATTCGCAAGCAACAAGATGAAGATGAAAAATATTACCAAAGTGCTCCGGTTGAACTGATTTCCACCCCGAATTATTCTACTGATCCTCGATGCAAATATTATCAACTCATAAATACGTAGATGCCGTTGAATGATGAATTCTGACTCCTAAATTGGCTATGCAAAATAAATCCTTCTACACAACCCTTATTACTAAGCAATTCCCAACATCGTGTAAAATTATCCTAGCAATAGCATTAAGAAGTAGAGCCCGACAACACAAGCAACAAATAACTAATCCGTTAAATGCTAACTTGTATAACTATTTTGCCTAAGAATGATAACGCCTAAATCCGGTCAATCACCACACTTAGTTGCTTCTTACGATAGATAAATTATCTAAATCCGACTCAATATCTACCAAGCAATAGATTAAGTGTACAAGACAATAGTTGATCAGGCTACGATCCTAACACAAAATCATAAACATAAACACACAAAATAATTAATACGAAATATGAATTAATAGGTAAAAACTAATTAGATATCACAGTATTAAGTTCGGGGTTTCAATCGTGTTCAACCGAAACAAAAGAGAATTAGCCGCGCAGGGCTTCCATGATCCAAGAGAAAAGAAAAAGAAATATAGTGAAGAAAAGAGAGGAGAGAGTTGATGTTTGTGAAGATCCCTTCTGTTGCTCCTTGCGGCTGTTGTACGTGCAGTGTAGGTCTCAAAAATCTGATCTCTTCATGTTTAATTATGGTTGGACTTTTAATCCTATTGGGCTCAATGTTTACGGGCCTACGTCCAAATCATAAGCTATGCACTGTCCGTCCATACTGACATGGCCATGTTTAAACAAAACCCAGTGCTGCCATGTTGGTTATATGTGCACCATGCGATCTAACTGCACAAAAATATCAACAAAGGTAGTTTCTACTCGAAGACACATGATAAAGTCGAAAACACGTCACTTAAGCACAAATATCCAACACATAGTCCAAATTTTACTATATTATAAACATATATTTTCGACTTATCATCCCTCAAATTTCTTTTTTCCATTTCTAGTAACTTCCACTGATTTGCTCTTGTAGAGGCACAAGTACTAAGGTAGACAAAGACTGCCCAACTCATTTCACCATTAGCTAATGAGTATTCCACTGCAATGAAATAAGATTGGCAGGTGATCTGAGTTACGGTAACTTCTGGAGACCATAAAAGCAAAAGACCTACACTCATGCCTACTGGATCAGAGAGAAAAAAGAAAGATGGGTGGTGAGATCTAAAAGTCTCTTTGATATTGGAAACCGTCGAGGTCCACCCAGTCCTCGACAGTTTCATACAGCAGCTAACATGGGCCACTTGGGTGCCACTCAAGGTTGGCCACCTCCACCTTAGCTATGTCAGACTTTAATTTCTTCTTCACTACTAAGTTGTTTACTGTGTCAGTGATACCAGCTTCTGAAATATTTTCCTCTGCAATAGCTCTTTTCCCAGAAGGAGAGACACATGTGTTGGTTGTTAAACCAAGATGTCTTGTAAGTCTACAATCTCTTCGGGGTGCTCTCTTTCAGGTTTTGGGTTGTGCGGGTGGTTGCTCTAACATGAGAAGTTCCTGGGGACCTGGTTGAGCTGAAGTTGGTTATGGTTGGGCTGTTATGGTATCCTCCAATATGAACTGATCATTCATTGGCTGCTCAGGTTGGTCAATTGAAATTGGAGCATGAAATGAAGATGAAATTGGTTCCTGAATAAGTATCCCTGGTGGTTTTTTAGATGAAGCTTTAGTTCCATTGGAATCTTGTACTTATGGTCGATTCATATGAGGTGCTTCTTCTTCTACGATGAGAAGCTAGTTTGCCTCCTGGATTTGACTGGTGAAAGTGTTAAGAGGGGATGTCTGCACTGATGTGGTTCGGGAACTTGATGACTGATGCTGAGAACCAGCAATATTTGTCCCTGCTCATTGCTGAAAGTCTGGGGCTCTCATCCAATCACCAAATTGGCCCTCTCTCAGAGATTTCTTGGCTATATTATCAATTTTCTTGTGCTTCTATCCAGATGCCCAATATAACCAAAGTAATGACACATATTAACCAGTTTTTCGTATTTGAAACTAACCTTTACCAACTCTTCCCCCAACCTGATAGTGGCACATCTGGGAAGAGGTTCTGAAAGGTTGATGTTGACTAGAAGCCTAAGGATTTTGCCTCCATGACTTCCAGCTCCAGCTACCACCACATTTTTAAGCTGATGAAAAACCTTGCCTATCTTTATCCCAACCTCTGTACTTAGCCAGTTTAAAGGGACGTCGAAAACTTGAACCCAAATGGGTAATTCTTGGAAAATTGGGTGATGAGCAGAGAGTCGTTCTTTCCACTCAGTGAGGAGAAGGAATTGATTGTCAATTGTCCAGTTCGTACCTCTTGTGACCTTGTCCATATCTTTTTTACTTTGGAAGATAAACTGAAAGAAATTTGTGCCTAGCTCCTTCACTTCCATTGGTTGACGCATCTTCCATATAAACCTCATTGTCCGCTTCACGCCCATCCAACTAACTGGACGATCGCCAATGATTTTTCCAAATAAGCTATTATGGCACTCCTCTGCACTGTAGCAGATGTCGGTAGTAGCTAAATCGATGTTAACATTCTCCTTTTCAGAAAAGGAAGAAGTCTTCTAGCCTTTGTGAAAGATCGACATCATGGCCGATAAAAGATTGACTGGCTATTAGGAACTTCACAGCGACGCAAATACGAACCCTAGCCCCCAAATTGGACAAAGTAGCCTTCACGATTCAGATGAGTTAGTAGATCCGCGAAGATGTACACGAACGGTATTGCGAACAGGAAAAAACCGATATTGTAAATAGGAAGAACAATCGAGATCCCTACTGTAGCCCGCTCTCCGCCGAGAGAATAGGAATTTTCTTTTTTTGTTTTTTTTTAAATATATGAAATTACTGAAATGCCTTCATAAATTAGCTATTTTTTAGTCAAAACTACTTTTATATCTGGTTTAGGGGCAATTTGACAAACTCGTATAGCTCACACAGTGGTTTGTTAGAAAAAAAAAAAAAGTTTATATGGTGATACGCCAAAACCGTGATAGTTCAGAATATTAGGGCTGAGCACGGGACTCGGAGATTATCGAACTGTTTCGAAAGCCGAACTGAATTCACCCCGAACAGAAAAATATCCATTGACAGTTTGACTTTATCCGAACCGAACCATACCCGAAATATATTTGGTACGGTTCTGGAGATTCATAAAATATCCGAACCGAGAACCGAACTGAACCAAACTGAACCGCAAAAAATACAACCGAACAAGAACCGATTTTAATTCATAAAATTCATATAAATATAATATTTCATCTTATGCTTTCTTTTCATCTTTGTACATATTTGTATTTAAAGTTGAATTGCAAATAAAATCCATATACATTAGGTCTATGTTCATAAACTATCATTAATTATATTTAAAATTGAATTGCAAAAATCCTCCACTATTGAATGTTAATATAATTAAATGATTGAAAAGATAATTATTTTATTTTCTTACTGCATGTGAGGCATTAGTTTGAAAAGAAATTAAATTAATATACTTTTCCTATCACAAATTTTGGTAACCAATGTTTCAAATTTTATTAAAAAATCATTAATTATAAACCAAATTAAAATTTAGAATCTTTTGAAACCGGCCTTTATGAAGAAAATCTTTCTCAAAATTTGGAGAGAAATATTTATTTAAAGATGATATATTTTAAAATAAAAATAAATTAATAGATATTTTTAACATAATACTTATATATCGGTTTAATAATAATACTACGACACGTCGACGCCCACTGCTCGAAGACGGCAAAGGCTCAATGCTTTTTGGTATTACACATGTATCGATGAAAAATTCACAACTAAATTTAAAACATGTCATATGGAATTGTGGTTTGTGAATTATGGGATGTGAACTCTTGGATAATGTATGTCTTAGTAATACTTGATCTATAATTGAATATTTCCTATTTTAAAATTATTATTTAAAATCTTTAATATGATGAAGTATTGATGAATGTTGAATTTTTAAAGCATATAAAAATTAAAATATAACTAGGTAGTCATTTTAAAAAAATAAAAAATAATTAGGAATCTCCAGAGAATCTAACCCAACCAAACCTAATCAAATCGTTCCGATAGTCTCGAATTCCAAATTGAACCGAACTAAAAAATAAAATTTTCCTAACCAAAACGTCCCGATTTTTTTGGTACGGTTCCGGATATCGAATATAGTAATCTCTGAATTTTTGTACGGTTCCAGAGATTTGTCTATCTCCGAACCATACCGACCCATACTCACACTTAGTTGAGATGGGACAAATTTTTTTTCCCTATCCTATGAGTAGGGGTGCACACAATATGGTTAACCGATCGAAACCGAAAATTGGTTTGGTTTTCGGTTTACAATTTTTTAATATTTCGATTTTCGTTTCGGTTTGGACATAATCACTCGGTTAACCGAACCGAACCGAAAACCGATATTATACACATATGTTATAAAGGCCCAATATAGTTATGTTAAAATTAATAGATGTATGCCACCAATATGGAACAACAATCCAACACCTCACCCACAGGCCCAAGGCCACCGACGGCCCATCCACCCACCCACCACCCACCAGGTCCAGTCCACCACGCAAGCAGTAGGCCCACAGCAAATCCAATCCCACGCATCTCATCTGTATCTTCCATAGGCCATAACCCAAATTATGCCCGTATTTCATCTCAATTCTTTTCTGTCGCTGTAAACCCAGTCCGCCGCTCACACACATCTGTCATCTCCAATCGTCGCTCGGCGCTCTGATAACTGATTTCTGAAGTCTGAAATCCCAAATCGCCTATCTCCTGCTGCCGCTTCCGCACACCACACTCCCCACCCGACAGGCCGGCACTCGACGGCGATGCTCGTACGGGCTGCATCTCAAGTTCGTGATTTTCAAGACTTTGAAGCTCTCTTTCTTCTTTTGAACTCGTGATTATTTTGTTTCGGTTGAACCAATTTGATGGATGTCGTTTGATATCTAACCAATTTGTAAATTTTATTTTTGTCATTTTTTCGTTTTATCGGATAACCGATAATCGAACCGATAAACCGCTTCGGTTTGAAAAAACCGAACCGAACCGTTCGCTTCGGTTTTCGGTTTTAATATTGGACTCACCGAATTTTCGGTTCGGTTCGGTTTGGACCGAGTGTGCAGCCCTACTGGCTATGAGGGCCTTAATTTTCTCAGTAACAACACTACACAAATTTTGTGTTTTATTGAAGGATAAGCAAAACACAGAAGAGGAGCTCGGAGGCGGCCATGGTTTGAGACGAGCCGTCTCAGCCGTCGGAGGTGCACATCCACGGTCGACGCAGAGCAGACCACCCCACCATCGTAGGCTACCTAAATCTTATATCTTTTCCATGAAAAGAGCATGAATATTCTGAAGCACAACTTCCCCACCCACTGTTACCCTCTGCGCCGCCTCCATCAACCCTCTCTCCGCCCTCACTTTCTCAATTTTGCCTCTCTCGGCAGAAGTTTCCGACTCCCCTCATCCATTTCCGCTACCCCTTACTCTCTCACCAAGTCTGCAGAGACTTCGAAGGTTTTAGCAATCCCAATATCGATTGGGAAGGATGAAGAGAGGGAGACCGAAGATTTTGAGGAGTACTTGGCAGAAGATGGAGAGGTTTATCAGAAGACATTGAGATTGGTCGAGTGTGCAATGTTTGCTGCTGTCTCTGCTTTGGCATTTCTCTTGAGCAACTCTCTAGCCATTGAGGTTATTGCTTTCTGTTCGGTCAATTATCCTTATGGAGTAATTATTGGACTTATTTGTTTGGCTCTCTGTTTGGGTGTTGTTAGGGTTAGATAAAAAACCCAAGATTGAACTTTCAAATGACCCAGGACTGGTTTAGAAGAAATATAGAACTTCATGCCTTGTTGTTGCTTGAGTTGGTTATTAGTAGAAAAATGGCAAAAAACGAACACAACATACTGCCAGAGTTTTTTTTCTTTTATTTTGCATTTGAATGATGGTAAGCACTGGTTTTAGATTTTATTTTAGGTCACTCGGTATGACTTGGGAGTAGCAACTACTTTTTAAAGGACTGGTTTAGAAGAAATATCCCTTGTTGTTGCTTGAGTTGGTTATTAGTAGAAAAATGGCAAAAAACGAACACAACATACTGCCAGAGTTTTTTTTCTTTTATTTTGCATTTGAATGATGGTAAGCACTGGTTTTAGATTTTATTTTAGGTCACTCGGTATGACTTGGGAGTAGCAACTACTTTTTAATTTTCCGGGATATCACAATATGTTATTGTGGGAATCAGTTTAAAGATTAATCTTCTTTAGTATTGTTGAGGATATTCATCACCTCAAAAATATCTGCTATAAATTTGTGTAGTGATCCTTACGCTCATGTGCAATTGAATTATGTAGAAATACTTTGCATGTTTCTTTGCTTTGCCGATAGTCCTTTCAACAATGAGATGGGGTGTTGGAGCTGGCAGGAAAACCATGGTATGTTGTGCGCAAGCCTTTTATGTTACATCATACTTTTCTTTCAGGTTTTTTATGTAGATAATGCAGTTTCCATCTTTTGGTTTATACTTATTCAGGTGGCAACTACTGTATTATTGTTTGTCTTATCTGGTCCGGTGAAAGCAGTTACTTATTTGGTGAGTTATTATGATCATCTTGCGTGTTGATAGAATAAATGGGACAAAATGGTCTTGATATTCCAATTTCTTTTCTTATGTTTATACTAATAAAACTGTAGATTCTTCTACCTAGCTTTTGAGCTTTATTCTTTGCTTTCCATAGCCTCATATTATTATTTGGATTTGACTTAACTACAGAGAACACCTGTCTTTCACAACAAAAAGTCTGCCCTTGAGAACACTGAACCAAACAACAGGGGCATTCTTTATAAATTTCTAAAATTAGCTGTTTCTTTGTCATTAGGTGAAACCTCAAGGGTAATTTAATTAAAGTTCCTTTGTTTTATTGAAGCATAAAAGCAGACACTGATCTGTATTTACATTCTCTGGCCAGTTATTTCATGGCTTGCTTGGTCTAGCGATGGGTACCTTTTGGAGGTATATATTACTTTTGACATCTTGTGCACATTATATATATACATATATACACGCACACACTAGTACTAGATTTGGCATGCTGTGTTGATAAATAGAAATGTATTGTCTATTATTGTCAGGTTAAAGACAAGTTGGGGTGCATCGCTCTTCCTGTGCACAATTGTATTATTTCTATTCTTTTCTCATCACCGGATAACATTCATTGGCTAATTTTGGATGTAAAGAATGGTTGCCGTTATTGCAGGTTAGATCTATAGGAGCTCTGGGAAATGTGGTGATTGCCTCATATCTAATTGGAGAAAATATATTGGCATTGGTAAACTATGGCCTGGTTATAGTTTCTACTCTCTGCAAGTAATCCTTTTGATCTCATCATATTTCTCACAAGCTACATTTGCTTGGTTTGTAGATCACTATAAATCTTCATGCTCTTGTCACATATATCCTCTCTGGCTTTGGCTGCATCTCAGTCCCATCAATGAATTTTATATACTTCATTTTCGGGCTTCTTGTAAGTGATTATTCAATTTCTTACTTTTGTTCAATTTGCATTTCTTATCTTAAATTTGTACTAAATTACAATTTTCACTTGAGCCCATTACACCATAATTTAACAAAGCATTCAGTTATTGATTCTTATATATTTTTTGTTGATAATTTGAAATAGACTAAATTTCTGATATTTTTCGCGACTGACCGCTTTTTGATTATCTTTCTCATACTTTGTTTCTTCACAGCTCTTGCTCAATTCTGGTGTCTTTGTGTTCCTGCTTCATCTTTTATATGCTCTATTTTTTACGAGGCTTGGGATGAAGGCTTCACTCAGACTACCAAAATGGCTACAGGCTGCAATATAAACCGATTCAGATGACCAATGGATAAAATTTCAATGTTTGTGTCTGAAATTCTTTCAATTAACCCTTTGACATGTGCATCCTCAGTGAACATCCCTCTATTTTAGGAAAGAATTAACACTTTGACATCTGCATCCTCATCCTCAGTGAACATCCCTCTTTTTTAGGATTTGCAAAGTGACTTAGGGGTTCTTGTTTGCAAAATATTTCACTCACATTTAATCCATATTCAAAATATAATCCAACTTTAATCAGCTTCACTATTCTTAACAATATTCATATAATTAAATATACAAACTAACCATTTTACATATCACATAAATTTTAATTAATTATTCATCCACTAACGTAATTTTAAGTAATTATTACTTTACACTATCTCTCTAATATTTTTATATCAAATCAACTTTAATTATTAAAAAATGCTATAAGTACATAATAAATGTACATAGAGGTGTACATCACACCCACATGAAGTAGGGTCTACTTAATTTTTTATTATTTTGTAGGACTCGCTTAATATAAGTTATGTACACCTTTATGTACAATATTATGTACCTATAGCATTTCTCTTTTTATTTTTGGTTGGTCCCACTCAATGTGAGTGTTATGTACACACTATGTACAATATTATTCCACTTATAGCATTTTTCTTAATTATTTTATTTTAAATATTATTTTAATATAAACTCAAAATCACACTAACAATTAATCATATTATTTTTTTTTTTTTTCAAAATAAACATTAGTTAACTAAAAAAATCTCATTTTGAGCTAATTAAACTTGTAAACAAGCACACCTTTTCTGATAGATAAGCAAATGGGCTACGTGATAAAGATGTCCTGTCCTTAAGAGGTGAGAAGAGGATTTGTATTTCAGAGCAGTGATTTAATGCATAAGATGGATTTGAAGTCAACCCAAAATAGTGAAAATATTAAGTCTAGCTTCCCTGGCTCGAATAACAGACTATGTTAGCAGGTGTGGGGAAATTGTTTTAACTGAGTTGGACAACTGAAATGGAGCTTGAGTAATAGATCTAGGAAAATGAAGGGTTGTGTTGAGCTGGGCTACATTACATGTATGAAAATTGGTGATTATGGCAGTATCTCAAATGAACGCAAATGGTATTCTCTATCAATCCAAATCTTGAATTGTGAAAAAATTCATTGAATTTGAAGCTTTGAGAGTCCATAACATGAATATTCGTTGTTTTGTTTAGGTAGTGTAAATTCTTCTGGAACGATACATTAATAGGTGTTTTGAGGGGAATATTTTTTATTTAAATGTATACTTGATATAAAATATTACACATCCATTCATGATGTATTTTAGAATGTAATACTTCATTTTGAAAAGATATGTATTTAATCAAAATTATGGTAGCCTAAGAGCATCTCCAATGCTATGATTTTGAAAAGCAATAATTTTTAACACATGTCAATTAATGATTGTAATATTAATCCACATAGAATAATGTTAAAAGACTAAAAATTTGAATCAAATTAGTATCTCCAATGCATCAATTTGATAAGAATTTAATTGTATAGGTGGACCAAATTATAATAATTCATTAATACAAGAGTAATAAAAAATTAAACCAAATATAAAGTGAATTACTTAGTCATCATGTTTGGTGTTAGATATTATAAAGTGAGTTCAACATTGTCAACATTAAATGTCATCCACATCATCATGAAAGAGCTAATGACAAGATGTATATGGATAATTTCTTGCAATGTCAAAAGTCACATTGGAGATGCTCTAATTGTTGGGCATGTATAACAGTTTTATTGTTTTAGGGAGCCTAAAAATTGCTTTTAGGGAATCTCAAATTTTCAAAATGCAAGGCTTTATATATAAGAATAAGATATATTGGTTAGGCTACAAGCTTGTTGTCACGCCCACTCTTTCGTTCACGGATTATATATATTTAGGGTCGCGCTCCCACGAGAATGATACTCAGTGAAAGAAATAAGAATGAATCGTAACCATTAGATCGGATGATCCAATGACTAAAAAATGCTTATTTTCCACACTCATTAAGAGTAATTGGTAATTACAGTATACATAAATAACTAAGACATGTGGGACCCACAATAGATCAAATAACACACCAACCAGTTCATCTCCTCACGTCACTCTCTCTCTCTCCCCCACTCCCTCTCTCTCACACACTCTAACACACACACACACTCTCTCTCTCCTCACTCTCTCTCTCTCTCTCTCTCGGTAGAGAAGAAAAATTATATCGCACCAAAACACCATCTTCGGCCACCGTCGTTCGCCCCAGCCACCGCTGTGCCGCCGCCGCCGCTCCCATCCTGCCTGCCGGAGCATCCCGCTACCGCCGGAGTCTCGCTCACAGACCGCCGCAATAGCATAGTCGCCCCCGCCAGCTGACCTCCGCCCAAAATATCTCTCCGGTGACGATCGGCTGTGCTTTGTCGACCGTCGCCTGCGCCGTCTCCAGTCGCTAGCGTCATCCCCGTCGACCTCGCCGTCCCCCGTCGTCCCCGTCGCCCTCACCGTCCTCCGTCGATTGCGCCGTCATCCTTCGCCCACGAGTCACCACCTCCTTGACTCTCGCCGGCATCGTGTCTGTCAGACGGCCAGGGCGCCACCGCACTGTGGAGCTGAAACTCGTCGGATGTCGTCGGCCGGAGTATGAATCGTCGTCGGAAGTCGCCGGCCGGAGTGGCTGCCGGAGCAGACGAGAAGTAGGGTAGAAGATGACATTTTGGGATTAGGGCCTTTTTTTTTAGAATTAGATTAAGTTAAAGGATTTGATTGCAAAAAAATGAATTTTTGTTAAATTTCAATTTGATACATGTGCCAAATTTGTAATTTATTGAAAGTTTAATAAATGCATATTAATTGAAAAAAAAATGCACAAGATAATGTATTCAATCATATTAAATATAAATGTCATGTGATAGCACAATAGTTTTATATGAAATGCACATTAATGATCGACAGATTATACCGTATCGAACGAAACATACCAAACTAAAAAATATATTTAAAAAAATAAATTAAATTATTAACATATTACATATAATATTAATATAAATAAACAAAATATTTCAACTATTTAGGATAATTTGGTTAACCGAACCGAAAAAACTAATTAATTATGTTCATTTCTAATTTATTTTAAGGAAAAAAAAATATTTGGTTCAACACGCACAATACAGAACGACACCATGCACCATAGTGTTGAACAAATTGCACCTTAATAACTGTTATATTGCACATAATAGTTCATTTACATACATATCAATTTTTTAATCAAAAAATAATATAAAATATCAAATAAAAATGTATTAAATATTAATGACGTTTTTTATAATAAATAATATGATTTATGTCGGATATTTTGGTTATTTATGTTAACCGACAAATTAATCCGATTATGTCGAAAATTTCAGTTCGAAAATTTATATTTCATTATGTTAGCCTGATCAGTGAGACTTTTTGACAAACAGACCTGGAGAAAGCCATTTGTTAAGTTTCCCACCAGTCAAGGCAAACAAAACTACATCCAAACTATCAGTCAAAGGACGCAGAGATGAACTTCCAGAAAGACCAAGAACATAATTTATGACAGACAGAGAGAAATCCACAATGTAGTTACGCACAAAAACCTTTTGAAACTTCAGAGAATCAGGACTAGAAACAGAAGGGGGCAAGTTTGAGTAAAACTTAGCTACCAACCGCGGACAGAACTTTCCAACATACACAATCGACTTTTCAAGACCAACTTTTCTCAAAAGATCAAACAACCCGAGATTTCAAAGTGAGTAGGAACGATGGTACGCTCAGAACGAAAATGCATTTGCGAAAAGATGTCAACATATCGATATTTAGTGAATGTAGAATAAAACTGACGAGAGAAGGCATTATTAACATCAAGAGGCCCATCATCGTCATCACCCACTTTAGCAGCTTTAGACAACAGTTGTGCTGCATTGCCTGGACATCCTTAACTATTTCAAGTAAATATCATTGCGTATTTATATATTAATAGATTTTTTTTTAAATTTGAATTTCAAACACTAACTGTCATTTCTCAAATATTTCAAAATAATTACTAATAAAAGTAAAAATGAAATATTTTATCAAGATTTCAATTACTATTTCAGATAAATGCGAACCTTTCTATATATATATATAGATATCTATACTTATATTAAAAGGTATACCATTTACCAGATTTAGTATAAAGAAAAGTCAACAACATTTATTGCATTACTATTTCCGTATTATACAATCTATACTTATATAAAAGGAGATTCTATTTACTATATATTTTTTTTTTTTTTCCAACGACATAAATGTTCTCATTAAAAAAAACAACGCCAACTGGCAATGTACACGAGCAAAGCCCAAATCCTGGGAACCTGGGAGGTTACAATACTCCAATGCAACCTAGACGGAATAACTGCTCGCAACGCGAGAAAACCAACCACAACAAAAACAAAAACGAACACTACTACAACATGACTAATAAAAAAGAGAACCCTCCCAACAGGAGAATACCCGAGTGCGCTCCCACCAGGAGAAAAAAGGTGCACTCAAACCCAACAACCTAACACACACCCACGACTAAGAACAAAGGGAACCCTCCCAACAGGAGAATACCCGAGTGCGCTCCCACCAGGAGAATTAAGTTGCACTCGAGCCCAACAGCAAACCACACAACAACAACAACAAAACACAGACCAACAAAATACAAAAACAAAAACTAAAATAACTGACCCAACCTCAGCTAAACCGAAACCGCCCCAAAACAGGAGAGACCGATCGAAACAAGAAAAACCGAGCCCAAATCCCGCTACTGAAACTGCAAGAACGCCTAGCAATAGGTGAATTTAAATCCCAGCAATCCCCGACTCGACCCATAGATAACCGAAGAGATCACAAACACAGACTCAAGACAAAAACTAAAAACTATAATTATATAGAGTAGGCCCTTCCTCAGCCAACCAAGCTAGTCAAAACCAGAAGAGTAACAATCGATCCAAAGAGAGCCCCTGCCCGAGGAACCGCTACCGAAACTGCATGACTGCCTATACAGAAGCCGAACCCAAGCCCCGAACTCATCTCAAATCGACCCACCCCGATCGAGGGAACAACGAGCCAGTTCCCCACACCATCACATCCCAAACTCATTTAACACCACTAGATAAGCTCGGGAGATCCGGACCCCACCGTCCCCAACACCAGAGAACAGGGGTTGAGACCTTCTCGGTT